TTTTTTTTTGTTTGAATACTCTCTAAGGTTACATGTATGTAAAAAATAAATAAGAAATATTTTATGAACGAAGTATAATTAAAAGTAAACAAACAAATACAATGTGATTTGCTTGTTTAGTTAGCAAAAAATCAATATAGATTCAATCGAAATCATATTCTTATTTTTTGTTCAAGAAAGATAAATAGAATGCGTCACATGTTATATATATGAAATTGAACCTAAATGGACTTTAGTATAAAGATTTATTTACATACGTTGTTCTTTTAAATATCCATGTAGCAAAAAAGATGATAATTGTAATAGCATATACATTTGGTGAAAGATCATTAAGCCTAGAATAAGATCGAGATGATGATGATGATGGAATAAAGGTTTTGCGCATAATTGGCGGAGAACTATTAACAAATTTAGTGGATGATTTGTACTTAGCCAATGAATAATATGTTTAGATACTTTTGTTTCATAATGAATAATTAAACTTGTTATCTTTTATACGTGCCATTTTCATATCGAATCAATCATAGATAGAATCGAGGTATTAAGAATATGTACGATTATTAATACAAGGAAAATACGAGAGAAACAAACAGAAAGAAAATAAGAGATAATAGGACAGATATAGATATATCTTGTGAGGCCTATATATTCGAAGCTACTCTATGTCAACAAAACGTCCTACTGTTGAAGAATACTGACTGCGATAGTAACATATTGTTTTTCTCATTACAAAAAAATCAGCAAAATAATGTACAATCCTAAATCCTAATAATCACTTTTGCAATAGAAATCATTCAATATAAAAAGTTATTTTTTTCGACATGTGAAAGTTTTTTTTGAAACTAAAAGAAAAACAATGCGATTATTATTATTCACTTATCTACTACTATTGCATTAAGCCTTTAGTATTGGTGTTGATAGTATGATATTATTGTTTTGTCATTAATATTGTTTTTTTGAACTAAGTTACAATGTAAATAATATTAGGAAACACTAAACAAAAGATCCCGTGCTTGATTGGCGCCTCATACTAAAATTTAGTCGAAATAAAAATAATAGTAATACAAAAAAAAGGTTTTTTTTTTTCTTCTTTTCATTACAATACGTCGATTAGTGTTCTTTTTCTTTATTTTGATTATTTCGAATTATGTCGATTCAATATACAGCAGAATCAGCTTTGCATTTATTGGAAGAACTCTATAGAGCAATTGATTTATCAAGTCAACAACAGAGTCCCATGTCGATTGATGACAGTGAAAATCTTGTTCAAACTCTATGTCATCTTTCTCAACTCATTAACCATATTAATCAAACAGGCATGTGTGAACAAACACAACATTTAGATACAAATCGATTTAATCGAAAAAAAATGAAAACTTTTATCACACCTCATCTGAATAATTATGATGAAAATATATATAAAGATTCGGTATCAATCGTACCACCACATTTTCAACAGTCTTATGGTGGATGTGTCTTATATCATCCGATAGTGTTACATGAAAATGATTTTGGTAAAAGAGAAAGACAATATCGAAAAGAACATAATTATCATAAACGTGAGTTATTTAGTATCAAAATATAATCAATTATTCAATTGTTTACTGGTAAAAGAAAAATATTTTTTTGTCTTTTTCAATTATGATAGACTTTCTACATCATAAACACACAAAGAAACATCAGAGAAAAATGTCGAAAAGTCATGATCGTCGTTCAAAATGTATTAATCGAAATATTTCCTTTTAATTATTGTATTCTTCTACCTATTTATATTATAGCAAGTCGCAGTAGATCGAGAGGATCTCGTCTATCTCGACAAAGTCGACGGTCAAGTCGTGGACGAAGTAATATAGAAATAGAATGAAGCACACATTTGAAGTGCTGTAATTTTATCCTTAGCGAGTCAATCACATGATCGTAGCTTACGTTCAAGTCGTCGTTCGTCTCGCAGTTCAAGACGAGAACATCAACGAGCTCATAGTCGAGGACGTAGTAAGTGGGTTATTTCTAGGTAATTCTTACCATAAAATAATACAATTCATAGAAAGCCGATCAAGTGAAAGAGGAAGTCGCCGGTCTCGTTCAAGTCAACGTGAGAAAGTTATAAAAAAATATTATTCAAAATTTATATAATTCATTCATTAGGTCGCAGTCGACGTCGTCGAGGAAGTTCACATAGTAAATCAAAGATTTTGTTTTGAATAAATGATTATTAATAGATTATTTATAGAACGTCGATCAACTGATCGACAATATTTGTAAGAATATTAATACAATTTTTCCTTATTTCATTTCAACTAGTTAAAAACTTTTTTCTATTTTGTAGATAAATTTTGATAAATATTTTCTTGTAGTGATCGTCGTCAGATACCTTCACGTCCAGTTTCAACAACAACAACACCATTATCTCCTTCTAAGCAGATGGGCTCAACATCAGTCACAAATCAATCATCTTCGCAACAACCTAATATTCAACCTATGTTTTCGTCAGTTCCTTCTACGACAACTAATATTATTCCAACATTTGCTCCAACTATACCTTTACCTCCACCTCCAATTACATCTTCATTACATCATTCTCATCCATTAAATGATCAATCTTTATCATTGCAACAAGTTCCAGTATCAGCAAATATACAACAACAGCAACAACCAACATCACTAATGTCACCGAATTCTTTACTTAACAGTTCAACTCAAAATGATACTTTATCTTCAAGTATTCCACCACTTCAAACGACAACTACTAATACATTTACATCACGTTCAGATAATTGTCCTGAATGTCGAGCTATTACGTATGTTTTCTTAATTTGTGACATTTTTTATTTGTCAAAAGAACAATGTTTTTTTTTTTATCTATTCAAAGACGTCTTCTTCAATGGGCACCATTAAAATGTTATGATGCAGCAGGTATACAACGTGGAGTTTTCTTAGCTGGACCAAAAAGTGAACAATTACTTAAAGCATTGTATTCATCAATACAAGATTCAGCTTTTTCATTAGATGATATCGAAGATTGTTTATGTGATAATGAATAATAATAAAAAGAAAAGATTATATCATTTTTGTTTTTGTTTATACATATACATATTAAAATTCATGATTTTTCTATCTAATGAGATGAAAATGAACTGATTGATAATTGAATCACACTCAATAACTTTTGATCGAATAATAAAGTAACAAGTCTTATCTATATCATGAATAAAAGTCTAAGTCTTACAATGTAACTTGGATTAGACACATCGTTTGATATAATCTATTCACGTTTTTGTTGTTTTTCTTCTATGATTATAAGAAGTTAGATTCTAATTTAAATACTAAAAAAGTCAGGTTCGAACTTGTACAATATACATGTTAACCTTCGATAATATTCTCTTAAATTTTTGTCTAAAACAAAAAATGTCAGACAATAAGCAGACGTCAAGGACACTGATTATGTTCTTTTCCTATACGTGTTAATACACGAATATTTGTCTATAGATTATAGAGTTCTGTGTGAGCATAAGAAATGGTTAAAACGTCGTGTATCTTTATATTATTAAATAACATTTTCATTTTACATTCAAACACAACATAGACTAAACACTATCATGATTGCTGTTAGTTTATTAGTATTCTCACTTGTGAGCAGTGTTGGTAAGTTTTATAGAAACAAGCTATCGATGATGATGATAATGATATTATTGTTTCTTGTTATCTAGCTGGAAATTGTTTGGTTGGTAATCGATGTGGAGCTGGTCTCTGTTGTTCTGCATTTGGTTTTTGTGGAACAGGCACAGGATTTTGTGGTGCTGTAACCGCTGCTGTCTATCCTAACCGTGATTGTCGTATAGTAGGTTGTCAAGCAGGTTATTGTTGTTCACCATATGGCTAGTAAGTACTATATATTTCTCAAATAAATTCTTTAAAAGAATCATTTCTAATAAACTAGTTGTGGTGCAACAGCTGCATATTGTGGTGGTGCTATTGCACCTGCTCCAACTGTTGCTAATTGTCGAGTAACTGGTTGTCCAGCTGGGACATGTTGCTCACAATATGGATAGTAGGAAAATTTTGAATAGAGAAAAAATATTATTCTAAGAGATTCTTCTATTATCTATAGTTGTGGAAATTCAGCTTCTCACTGTGGTGTTGTAGCTTACGGTAACTGTGGTTATACAGCATGTGGTAGTGGACTTTGTTGTACACGATATGGATAGTATGTTATTAATATCTTTGAAGTGCATAATACAGTTTTAGTATATCTATATAGTTGTGGTTCAGGTGCTGGTTATTGTGCATTACAAAAATCATTAACTGAAAGTAAACCAGCTCCAATTGAAGGTGAATTTCAAGGTCAAGCAACATATTATAATGAAACTCAAGTTGGTTCAGATTATTCAACATGTGGTATTGAACGTGCACGTTCATTAGATGAAGAAGATCAAAAAATTTATATTGCTGCTCTCAATCAAGCACAATTTGATCCATACACTGTTGATGGTATTCCAAGTAATAACCCAATTTGTCAAAAGAAAGCTTTAGTACGAGGTCCCCAAGGTGAAATCGTTGTTCGATTTGTTGATCGATGTCCACAATGTCGTGAAGGTAAATAATAAAATTAAATTTTCTCATTTATTTCATTAAAATATTTTATTTTTTCATTTTTAGGTGATCTTGCTTTAAATGAAGAAGCTTTTCTTGCTATTAACGGTGAACTTGGTACTGGACAAGCTAATGTCGAATGGCATTTTATTTAAAAACAAAAACAAAAATGAATATTGAAAGAAACAAATCATTTCAAAAAAAAAAGAACTATTTTTTCTTTTTTTCTACACTTTCAATATAATTATATCGATAGATTTCTTTGATTCTATACTTTCTATTATATAAATAAAGTTCTCATTTGAACGCATATACATCATGTCATTTCAGAATCTTCACATGACACTGTTAAAGAAAGATGAGAAGTTGTCTCCAAGGGACAATCCGCTTTATGACAGAAAAGAAAATTTAATTAATTTTCTCTTCTATATATTACATGCTTGCCTATAAATAATAAGGAAAAAAAAATAACAACTTTATTAAATCATGGTTTATGGTATTTTACTACAGAGTATAGTTGATTTATTTATTTTGGAAAAATATGATAAGATTCTTTTACACCAAGTTGAAGAATATGTGCAATTCTCTTTATCTAATTTGAATCTTTTCGATCTTTATGAAGATAGACTTATGATTGCAATTGCTGAAGGTATGAATTGACTTTTTCTTTTGAACGTTATTCTCTGTACAAGGTCATCTGAGTCCTCTTACTCTGTTTTTTCCCTAAATAGGAACTTTTAAGTAGGTCAAAAGAAAAAAAATTAATTACCTGTTCATGTGTATTGAAAGAGAGGAAATATCATTAGGATCATAGAAGTACATCCGCTAGCACTCTAATATATAAATATGCAGAGAAATCATAATATTAGAATCAAAGATGATCTACGGAATTTTACTTGAAAGTGCTCGATATGGTGTTTGTGAAGTATATGGACAAGCAATATGGAAAAGAATAGTACAGGAGTTAAATTTTGAACATGAATCATTTACGACACTTGGTCGTTATGATGAAACATTAATTGAGAAAATTGCAGAATGTAAGATATTATATGTCAATAGAAGTATCCTATAAAACAAAATTTCTATTTAGGTTTAGCAGAAATTTTACATGAAGGCGGGCCTGATTTATATATGCAATTTTTTGGTGAATGTTTTGTAAAATTTTTTACAAATTATGGTTATGATAAAATATTACGTGTCGCTGGACGACATTTTCGAGATTTTCTTCATTCAATTGATCAATTACACGATTCAACTAGATTTAGTTTTCCAAAAAATGAAATCACCATTATTTCATGTTACAGACGAAGATGATAATGGTGCCATTCTACATTATAAGTAATTTAAGAAAAATATATTGAAATAAAATAATTGATTGTTTTTTTCTTACTTAGATCAAAACGTCGAGGTTTTCAACGATATATTGTTGGACAATTAAAAGAATGCTCAACAAGATTTTTTAAAGAAGATATATTTGTTCGTATTCAAGATGATATCTCATCAAATGAATGTAAAAAACTTGTTTTTTTTGTATTTAACATAAAACCCAAACAAATTTTATTATTATTTTAGATACTCATATTATTTTTCGTGTGGATTTCAATAATTTTATGGCACGTTCAATGGAAAGACGTTTAATGCAAGGTCCAAAATTACCTGATGTGACGAGTACTACATTTTTTAAAGTAAAAATAACTATATATATTCCATTTGTATATCTGTGGGAGGTTATTCATAAACAGGAATATGTATGCATGTTATGACGATAAGAGTTCTTTAACATGACAGAAGAGTTATTTTTAAATTTATTATATAATAGAATGAAATTTTTTATTCTAGGTATTTCCATTTGGCATTTTACTTGATCCACAAATGCGAATATGTCATTTGGGACATTCAATAAAAAATGTTTTTCCATCTGATACATTATTAATTGGTCGTCATTTAGAAGATGTATTTCGTCTTATTCGACCAGATATATTACTTGAATGGAACAGAGTTTGTCTTCGATATTTTATTTATATTATGAAAAAAAAATTCATTTTCTCAGGTACTTTCATATGGTCGACATATTGTATTTGTTATCGAAAGTAGAATTCCTCTTCGTCCAAGTCAATCAAAGAATATGAAAAAAAGTGGTTCAGGTAATCCTCAAATACGTCTTAAAGGACAAATGAAATTAATGGAAGCTTGGAATATGATAGTTTTTCTTTGTCATCCAGTGTATGTTTTTAATTTTAATATAATACATCTATAAAAATCTATTTTCGCAAAATTTAGATTAACAACAACAGAAGAAATGTTGTCTGTTGGTTTATTTTTACATGATTTAAATTTTTATGATGGTAGTAGTGAAATACTTATTGCTGGAATGCAACATGCTCGATCATTACAAGCTGCTATTGATAAACAACATGCATGGATAACAAAATTACAAAGTTCAAAATTAGAATTACAAGAATGGCGTAGTAAAGGTCGACGTCTTTTATATTCTATGATGCCAAGACATATTGCACAAATGTTACAAGAAGGTGTTTTAGCTAATTCAATATGTGAAGTAATAGAAAAAAATGAATAATAAATTATGAATAATTTTCTAAAATTTTATTTTAGTCTCATAAATTATTAACCGTTCTATTTGCATATTCAATTGATTTTAAAGATGTTATACAAAAATTAGATCCACAACAAATTGTTGAATCAATTAATGCGACAGTTAATGCATTTGATCAATGTTCTGAACATTTTGATGTATTTAAAGTTGAAACAAAAGCTGATTCATCTTATATGGCTGTTGCCGGTATACAAGATCGATCCATACAACCACACCGACGTGAATCTACTACCGTAGACATTTTTTTATTATAGGAAATCAATTTTAACATATTTCCTGTTTTATCTTTTACTAGAGTCAGTCAACAACGTATAGTCTTTCGATAGCAGATGATTTAGCCAACGAGATGAAAAATCCATTAGGTCTTAATCATGCAGAAATTGTTTGCGGTCTTGCACTAGAATTAGTAAAAAGTTCTAAACGAGTTATAAATCCGGTTACAAAACAACCATTTCGAGTTAAATTTGGTAAAAAAAATTTTCTTCCTGTTTTTTGTTTTATATATCTTAAAAATTGAATAGGTTTTCATTCGGGTCCAGCTGTTGGTGGAATAGTTGGTGCAAAAAATTACCAGTATTGTTTATTTGGTGACACAATTAATACGGTAAGATATTGAGATGTATAATTAAGTAGAAAACGTTTAAGTTTGCTTTTCACTATTTCAGGCTAGTCGAATAACAACAACAGGAGAGGTAAGATAATATTAGAAATGTAAAGAAAAATGTTGATGTTTTTTAAATATTTTACAGCCAGGTCGAGTTCATATAAGTGATACGTCATATGCACTTTTAAGAGATTCACAATATTTTGAAACACAACACAGAGGAAAAACAGAAT